TCTATTTCAAAGTTAATTTCATTTCAAATATATTGTTGATACTTATGTTGTTTATGTTGTGTAGATATCTATTCTCCATCCTACTTGGGATCATGTGGAGGAAACTGTGAAGAACTTGTTATGGCAAGATCTTCTTGTAAGTATGTGTATTTAGTTGTTTATATTGTTTATACATTATTATCAATTGGTTAACTAAAACTTGTTTGCTACTATAGGAACACTTTGATATAGTCAATTCTGAGGATGTGAGGAGGAAGATAATGATAGCCATAGCAAAAATGTGGAGACAGTTCAAGTCCACATTGACCACTAAATGGGTGTATGCTCGAGGACAAAGTTAGGAAGGGATTAACCCCTTGCCAAAGATATGGCATAGATGAGGACACTTGGAAGAAGTTTGTACATAGTAGGACTGGTTCAGAGTGGGAGGTAATGTTAATTGCTTAATTGACTTGAACATTTTATAATGAGTTATGTATCTAATATTGTGTTCAATTATGTTGCAGGAAAGAAGACAAAAAGCAAAAGACATTCAGAGCAAGAATGTTGCCCCCCACATTCTATCTCGTGGTGGGTACGACCTATTGACAAAGAAGATGATGGAGGAGAAGATGAGACTTCGACGATCGGAGTTAGCCTCTTCCGGTTTAAGCGAAGAGCAGATTCCTCCACCATCTCCTCCAAAACGTCACCGGAAGTGGAAGAGGGCTCGTACAAAGCCTTCTCGGTGACATGACATCGCAGAAGCCCGAGAAATTGCTGCTCGGATTGTAAGTAAAAGAAGTTAATTTACTTTGAATTAGTTATATGTAACTTGTTCATTAATAAAATTAACTTTTATAATGTAGGATTCCTTGGAGGAGCAAGTGTACACAAGGAACTTTCATCCCTTCCGGTCGTCAGGATATCTTGACCATCGCTATTGGACGACCGTAACATCCAGTGTCGTGTTCGAGCTGTTGGCCAAGGTGTGGGTGTCCGACGGTATTTTGGACCACCATCACAGGATATCCGCACCTCCACATCCCCGAGCCAAGAAGATATTGCCGCTTTGGAGATGGCTCTCACGAGAGAAATTGACACCAGCCATCGGGGCAAAATTGGAGGAAGAGTTGACTCCTGCCATTAGCGCACGACTTGAGGAGACCATCACCGCACGTGTGCAGGAGCAGCTCTCGCGTATGACCTCCATGGGTACTTCATTTGCCGATGCTCATCCTCCATCGTGTGCATTTTCAACCACAAATTGGTACTTGACTTATGTTTCTAAAATCTTAGTCCTTATTGGAATTTACTCGTATTTGTAGGTCCAAGAGTTAGCACAAAGGGCAGTTGTGCTGAAGCCACTATCGAGGTCACACCTGAGGTGGCATCTATTCATCCCGAATCCACAAAGGATGATCGATATGGCTTGTGGGTTGAGGTAGATGAAGGTCTAAGGCTAGTGGCCCATGGATCAGTTCATGAAGGGGCTTCAACCATCCACAATGTGCCTTTGGATCCTAACTTGGTCAAAGTAGTGGTTGAAAAGGTGGTTGACGCCGCGGCTAGTGTCCCTATCCCCACCGAAGAGGTGCGGACAGTGGGCCAAGCCCTTCGGACCTTCATTAATTGGCCCCGACATTTAGTTAGGTCAATAATGGCAAAGGTATGTATATGTATGGTTATAATACATCTAACACATAAATAAATTGATTTATTGTTTATGATTATATTTTATAAAATATGTAGGATGTTCGACGACCAAAAGACTTGGGTAAAGCTATTGCCACTCCTTCGCATCTAAGGAGAAGACACCAGTTGTGGAGACTTCTCCAAATCCAATTTTTGATCTCTTGTCTCTTTCCCCACAATTGTATCTGCAGTCATTCCAAGTTCCATGGGATTGTACATTATTTGGGATGGCTTCTAGCAATATCCCCCTATACATTTCCCACACTGATGCCCAGGAGATTGGGATGGGCAATCAATGTCTAAATATAGCTGTTTTACAATTTTGGACATTGTAAGTTCATATCTTTCATGACTCTTTTCATTTTAGTAAATATATAAGCTATAAGTTCACTTAAATTGGCATATTTTAGGATGATGCACGAAATGATAGTGGAGCAGGGCATTGGTCATGTGTATGGATTCTTCGAGCCTCAATCCATACAAAAGTCTGGGAATAAGCATGATCAAATTCTCAGTTACATGCAGAATTGGATCACTGATTCTAAAAGAGATATTTACCTTGGAGCATACCATCATTCGTAAGTTATCCCAGCCTCTTATGGTTTTACACAAGTTTTTTTAATAGATTCTAATCATGTGTATATACAAAAACCACTGGCGACTATTAGTTATTTGTCCAAAGCGGAATCTTGTGTGTTGGTTCTGCTCATTGGGAAGGAAACCTGACATGGAGCTAAAAAATATTGTAAACGAGTAAGTATTTCTTATATTATGTCTAAACATCTTGATTATTCTATTTCTAACCCCCTTCTTTTCAATATATAGTGCTCTAAAGGTTTGTAGTACATTAGGTGGAAAACACACAAGTAAAAGCACAGACTCCAAATTGGAATTTTATCAAAGTAAGTAGCCTTTATATATATTATACTATCTATTAATTTATGTTCAAATTTAATAGTTATTTTTAACATATTTAGTCATTTTTAGTGTAACAAACAAAATGGAGGATACGAGTGCGGCTACTATGTAATGTATTGGATGTGGCTCATCATTTTTGGTAGCATTCGGGATAGTTGGAATGAGGTAAGTTGACATTTGCTATTATATTCAATTCCTTTATTTTTATTGCTTAGGGTTTACCATTCTATTATTGTGAACTTCTTACAGTGCATTTAAAGATATAGAACCTTTGCCTATGGATACTATAGACATGGTTAGAAACAAATGGGCAGAAAAGTTTGTACAAGTAGTTAGGAATAGGATTGATTGATAATTTTTTGTGTATTTTGTACATAATTTGGCTGATTTTGACATATATATCTATCATTTTATATATTAGTGATTAGCTGAAATAAATATACTGTCTGGGCTGAGATTACAACAGGTCGTGTACTGTTGGTGGCACTAAAACAGACCTACATTTAAAAAAAAAAAGGGATATTCTACGTCGGTTATTGCATTAACCGACGTTGTAACGTCGGTCGCTTGAGCGATACAGAGGTCGCTTGAGCGATACAGAACCCAAGAGTCCCCTTTGTTTGAAGGCTTCGTTGCTCAAGCGAGTACACCGGTCGCTTGAGCGAGAAAGGACTTTCAACGTCGGTTAGTTCAATAACCGACATAGAATTTACTAATTTCTACGACGGACATTTGGTTAACCGACATAGATATATATCACTTTCAACGTCGGGTATTCTGAACCGACGTAGAATCCTTTGACATTCAACGACGTCTGAATCAACGACGTCATTGGAACCAACGTTGAATGCCTTCCACACCCGACGTTGAATGATCATTCTGTAGTAGTATGTTAGTTCCTTTACGACGCCCCTTTCGGGTTCCCTATGATAGGCCGGCTACTTTGGATAAATAATTAAACTGGAAAATTGCGCTTTTACCCTTTTATTATGCGGTATTTAAATTTATGACTACATGGCCCTAACGTTTATTGCATAATTTAAATGAAAGCAGTAAAGATAGAAAGGGAGAGTATGCACCTCCAAAGCAAGCTTTTTATATTTCTCTTTAAAGAATGGGTGCTTTGCGGCAACCCTTCACTCTACAACACTCAGAAACTCCGGAAATGCCTCGGAGGGATTCTAAAGAAGATTTGAGACACTCAAAATATTCCTAAAGACACTCAGAAACTCCGGAAATGCTTCGGAGGGGTTCTAGAGAGAGAAAATCTAGAGAGAAGGAGGAGAAACTGTGTGTGGTGTGTGGAAAAAGGGGAATGGAGCCCCTATTTATAGTTTTTCGTGCCTGACAGGTCGAGACCGCCATTTCGTCTGACAGGGTCGAGACCGCCGTCTGGACAATCCAGACCGCCGTATCGACCATGGCAGGGGGTCGAGACCGCCATCTGGATAATCCAGACCGCCGTCTCGACTAGGCAGAAGTCGAGACCGCCGTCTGGATAATCCAGAATGCCGTCTCGGCCTTTTTCAGGTGACGAGACCGCCGTCTGGACAAGCGAGACGGCGTTCTGGTCCCTGGCGTGAGGCGAGACGGCGGTCTGGTCCTTCCAGACGGCGGTCTGGTCCTTCCAGACGGCGGTCTGGTCCTTCCAGACGGCGGTCTCATCCCTTCAGGGCGAGAAACTTTATTTTTCGGGCCATAAAACCCTCCTATCTTAGTACGGGGGCCTAATAGTCTCTCCTAGTGGCTTGTTAGGCTTCAGCCGTCTTCAAATAGGGGGTCTTCTGACTTTATTTGGAGGCCGGGCAAGATTTGGGGTCTACAGGAACGAGACCGCCGTCTCGCCCTTCGCAGGTGACGAGACCGCCGTCTCATCAAGCGAGACGGCGGTCTCGCCACTTGCATGAGGCGAGACTGCGGTCTGGGAAATCCAGACGGCGTTGTCGTCTCAACAAGGCGAGAAAACTTATTTTTGGCACAGAAACTCCCTCCTATCCTGGTATGGGGCCTAATAGTCTCTCCTAATGGCTTGTTAGGCTTCGTCCATCTTCAAATAGGAGGTCTTCTGGTCTTTATTTGGAGGTCGGACAAGATTTGGGGTCTACACACAAGAACTTTGGATATGAGGTATTTCTTGCACTTTACAGAGATGTACAAGGGCTTGTTGTGGCATGACCCTTAAGGAGGGAGTTCTTCATCTATGAAGGTTAGATGATCATTGGCAGTGATGTTACCAACGATCCCTTCAAACTTATCTTGGGATATGGTATGCGGTACGTAGGCTTCGTTCAAAACCTTTATCAGTGCATTCTGGTGTGGTTCCAAACTCATTATTAATGATAAAAGAGTTATCTTTGCAGGTGGTGATTGAGTTGGTCTATGATGGAGTACTCACTTTGCTTTATGAACTAGAGTAACTCATTGGTTTCCTCCTTGGATTTCTTATTATTTTGCTCTTCGGTCTCTTTATTTTTGGGGGCGTCTTCTTGTGACTCCTTGGGGGAGTAGATTTGTTTGCTTCTAGTCATGCCCCCAATGCTGACTATATTGGAAATATCTTCGTTTACTGTGTATTTCCAAGATACAACTTTATTTGATTTGTAGGGGAAAGGACGAGGCATAAATAGGTTCAATGGCATCCTTGCCCCCTCTTCCTTATTGACCGTGATGACCAACGACTGAGGTTTATTGGCCTCCTTAGGTGGATCAGTCGTTGGGGAGAGTCTGATGACGAGCGGTTTTCTCTCCATTCTTCTGTTTTATGGAGATACATCAGTTAACCTTTCATTTTTATTATCTTATTAATTAAAAGTGAGGAGGGATGTATGAATGTATGCAACTTATGAATGCAGTAGACATTTGTAAAGATAAACAAAAAGGTATTTTATTTATCAAAGAAAAGTGTACATTCCCCTATACCATGCTATGAAGCACATTCTGACAGAAACAGAAAAGCCTAAAGAAACCCACAGGCGGGTTCTGATTCCTACATAATTCCTCTTCGGCTTCCCGTACATGGTGAGCGAGTCCTTCAGACTGCCGATGGACCTCCTAGCTCATATCTTCATTGTACTTTTGAGCCTCTTTTATTTTTGCCTCTTGATGGACGACCAAGGTTTGTAAGTTGTCGAGCTTCTCGATGGCTCGATCTCTCTCTTGCAGAACTTGACTGTAGTGAGCTAATCTGTCTCTCTCTTTGCAGAATAGCTCAGCAAGGTTTCTGTTAATTCTCTGGGTGGTCTCCCACCTCCAATGCGCTTCAGACCAAGTCCTCGCGAGATCTTGTTGCATCATCTTGGTCGTCTATACCTGCTTTACATATTTTTCCTCAAGGTGTGCTAACTTGGCAGTCATTTCTTGGAGTTAATTATCCGGGTTGAGTTTTGGAACTTTGGATGCTCGGATAACCTCCTCGTTAAAGTCAACACATTTGTCCTTGAGGTGCTCTATCTCTTGGTCCTTCTTCTTGCATTGCCTTTGCAGACCATCAATGGTAAGGATAGATTCTTGTTCTTTCTCCTCAAGGGCCCTCATCTGGGCTCCCATGATTTCTGTCCTTTGGGTCAAGGCATCGACTTAATTTTGGAGCTCTTCGTTTGCTGATGGTGCAATGGGTGGAGCGGATGGTTGTGACATCCCTCTACTTATCCTCCATTCCTCGTAGTCACTAGAGACAACCACTCGAGCTTTGCCTAGCTCTCTATCTCCCATGTAGACTGGTCTCTCCCATGCTCTCCATATTGCAAGTGAGTTTGCAACATTGCATGGGTCTCCGAAGAAACACAGTCCTCTGAGCTCTTCCCGTGACGGTGAGATTTGAGTTCTCATGAGTTGTCTCATAGCTACCTTTGGGGAGTAGGCTATGCAACCCCTAAGGCCCAATAGTGGTATGCTCGGATAGTCTCTGCATTTGATGAGGATAGGGCTAGGTCGGAAATAAGGACAAGCCCAAGATAGGTGATCGATGTTCCATCGTTCCAACTCAACCTTCCACTCCATGGTTAGATGTTGGCGGAGAGGGATCTTTGAGAAGCTTCTCAAAGGATCGGGGAAAATCCCCATGATACCCCCAATGAATAACAATGAAGAGCAACATCTGAGCGTTCCTCCTTGTTTCTAGTGACAAAACTCAACCGAAAGCAAGGCATCGGCAAGAAGTGCAGGCAAGGGACTCTTTGAGTGTACGTCCTAGGCGAAAAAGGCGTCCATAACGGCCTGATATACTGTGTCGAGGTGAAAGGTAAATAACAAGGTCCCAAACACAATCAGAGCAAGGGTTTTATTGAAGAGAAACCAATCTGCCTTATCAGCCAAAGAGGACAGATGGTCTTCTAGCATTGCAACTTTCCATCCCTGGATATTCCCTTTTACCATCAGGGTAGCTTGATGAGGCGACAATTGGATGATGGCGGCAACCTTATCTACAGGAATATATGCTTCGCGACGAATGTGGATCCCAACTGATTTGGGTCATCTCAGCATGATCTCATATTCCTCCAAAGTTGGTACCAGATCAAATTGCGAAAATTCAAAGCAGTGTAGACTAGAATTCCAAAAATGGATCAAAACCCTGATGAAGATGGGATCAACATAAATCTTCAAAATATCGAGAATCCGTCCATAATATTTTTTGAAATCAGAGCGGACCTCAGGTGGCATTAATGCGCACAACCATTCTATCTTCTCCACACAATAACGGGGAATATCCACTTTCTTCAACTGTCTACTGGACCCCTCCACTTTTCTAGAAACGAAAAAAATGCATGTTATGAGTATGATGTTGATGCGAACATGCATGAAAGTGTTTTGTTTTCCTAAACATTATCATGTTTTATTTTCTACATGATGCATGATAGTTTTTAGACTTTTTTTTTTGTTTTTTCAAGAGAAATAAAACTACATATATGGATATTCATGAATTCGATGCTTAACACCATGAACAGGGCCCCATTTTCTCTTATTATGGTTATTATTTGATTTATTTGATTTATTTGAATTTTATAGCCCTTTTATCTCTTCTTTTGGACTGCGTAGCTACTTAGCTTACAAAGAACCTGAAACTAGGCTAACTAAAATGCAAACTGTCCGAGATAAAAGTGGCTTATTATAAAAGAATGGTTTTATAACCCCTTATCTCTTCTGTCGGTCCACGTGGCTACATAGCTTACAAAGAACCTGAAACTAGGCTAGCTAAAATGTAGATTGTCTGAGATAAGGTTGTTTATTATGAAAAGGTTTTTGAGATTTTGTTTTTATTTTTGCTGTTGTATGATTATGTTATGCATCAAACAAATGTAAGAAACAAATGCACAAACAATTCACTCATCCGTGAATAGTGTGATGATGTTTTTATCTCGAGGTAAGGGTATCCTGCAGGAAAGTGTGTATTCAAGGTGTTTCTAATTATCCTCACCAAGGCCAGGCCCCCAAGGTGCCCCAATTATAGGGTTCCCACTCTTCCAGCCCTTAGACCATGCATGGCACTAGGGCCTTGTCAGTCTTTAAGCCAAAACAGGAAGGTTATCACCTTGAGTGGTGGTTTCCGACCATACCGGTGGGCTCATGGCCATAACTATGGCAAATCGTACCCGCCACCCACTTCCTAAGGTTATCCCACTTGCCCTCGGGTATAGGGGGAACTGTTGTGTGCAAGGGTTTGTGTAGAGTTGTTTATTTCAAAGAATTGCATAAAATAAACATACAACAGTTATTAAAGTCATTCAATAAAACATGTTATAAAAACAAGGAAGGGTAAAAGTATAATTTCAAGTTTTTATTTTCTAAACGTAGTCCATCACTAAATGGGATAAACTCTCTAGTTTCCCCAGTGAAGTCGTCATTTGTCGCCGCCATCAAAAGAGGCGGTCGGAGCGACACAATGATTTTGATATGACTCGCATTTTTTAAAGAAGGTGTTCAACACCTTTAGGTTGTCCGATAACCGGGATGGACCTAAAGGCGAGGTTTTCGAAAAGGTTTGATGGAGTCGCCACTGATGTTTTTACCGTAAACATCGAAAAAGGAAAAAAAGGTGTTGGTTTTAGAAAACCAACTTTGGCCATTATGACCAGAGTTGGGTAAGGGAGTTAGTTACATGTGGGGAAGGTGTAAGCACCCCACAACGCCCCTTTCGGGTTCCCTATGATGGACTAGTTTATAAAATAAAGACTAAGAAATTATACCTTTACCCTATTTATTTATCTACTTGCAGAATTTAAATGTTTACATGACCTTAATGCCTAATGCATACAAGAAGAATAGTAATGAAAGCGGTAAAAGGGAGAGTAGATAAGAAACCTCCGAAGCAAGCTTTGTTTTAAAATTCTTGAAGATTATGAATTCTTTTTGGCTATCCCCTCACTCTACAACCCTGCTCACTACTCTACCAAACGCAAGGTTCTAGCTATAGAGCGTCTAAAGAGAGCGCTCAAACTCTAGAAATGCTTCAGAGTTGGCCTAGAGGAAACTTAAGAATGTAGGAGAGTGTATTCCAAGGCAGAAATCTTGAGTTGTGTGTCAAAGGGGGTGGGCGCGAGGTCTATTTATAGGAAACCGTGCAAGTAAGGGCGAGACGGTCGTCTCATCCCTTGTGGCGAGATGGCTGTCTCAGACTCCTGGCAAGAATTCTCTTATTTTTGTGTACAAAAGGCCTTCCTATCCTAATATGGAGTATAGTACATTTGCCTAGGGACCTAAAGAGGCCTTGTCCATCCTTGAACGGAGGTCTTCTGGCTTTATTTGTGAAGCCGAGCAAGATTTGGGGTCTACAAGGATCAACTCTCTAGCTTCCCTAGCGGAGTCGCCATCTGTCGCCGCCGTCAAAAGAGGCGGTAAGAGCGACGTGATGGTTTTGGAATGACTCGCGTTTTTTACAGAAGATGTTCAACGCTTTTAGGTTGTCCGATAATCGGGCTGGACCTAAAGGTGAAGTTTTCGAAAAGGGTTATATGGAGTTACCATCGATGTTTTTACCATAAACATTGAAAAAGGAAGAAAAGGCGTTGGTTTTAGAAAAAACAACTTTGGTCGTGTCGCCGCCGTAAAAAAGAAGAGGCGGTCGGAGCGACGCGATGGTTCCGACTTTCCAATTTTTGCGTTTTTATTGGTGGTTACAATGCCTTTAGGTTGTCCGATAACTGGGCTGAACCTAGGGGCAAGGTTTTCGAAAAGGCGCTCTTGGATTGTTCGATAACCGGGCTAATCCAAAAGCTGGTTTTTAAAGGTTCTGTGGAGTCGCCACCGATGTTTTTACCGGAAACATCGGAAAAGGACTTTAAAAGGCGTTGGTTTTCGAAAAACCAACTTTGGTCGTTAGAACCAGAGTTGGGTAAGGGAGTTAGTTACGTATAAAGGAAGTGTTAGTTCCTTTATGACGCCCCTTTCGGGTTCCCTATGATAGGCCAGCTTTATGTAAATGATTAAACCGGAAAAATACGCTTTTACCCTTTTATTTGCAGAATTAAAATTATGACTACATGGCCCTAGCTTCTATTGCATAATGAAGATTAAAGCAGTAGAGTAAAGAGAGAAAGTATAGAAACCTTCGAGGCAAGCTTTTCTATTTAATTCTTTAATAACTTGGGTGCTTTTTGGCAACCCTTCACTCTACACAGCTTCGTAAACCTCTCGAAACGCTCAAAAATACTCTTAGAAACGCTCAGAAACTCCAGAAATGCTTCGGAGGGGTTCTAGAGAGAGAAATTCTAGAGAGAAGGAGGAGAAACTGTGTGGAAATGAGGGAATGGAGGCCCCTATTTATAGTTTTTCGTGCCTGACAGGTCGAGACCGCCGTCTCGTCAAACGAGACCGCCGTCTCGCCATGCCAAAATGGCGAGACCGCCGTCTCGCCTTCGCAGGTGGTGAGACGGCGGTCTTGCCAAACGAGACGGCGGTCTCGTCCCCTAAAAGGCGAGAAACCTTATTTTCGTGCCGAAAATCCCTCCTATCCTAGTATGAGGCCTAATAGTCTCTCCTAGTGGCTTGTTAGGCTTCGTCCATCTTTGAATAGGAAGTCTTTTACTCTTTATTTGGAGGCCGGACAAGATTTGGGGTCTATAACTGCCCCCCCTTTACCTGACTAGTCGGTTGTTGGCCTGTTGTGCCAGACAGATTGACAGGAAGGTAAAGGAGTTGACCCACTTGCCCGGTCACCCTTCAGATGCTCCGTCTTGCGGCGGTTGATCTTCTGGGGAAAATGTTGTGTTGTGCACCTCTAGGATACTACTTCCGACGTAGCCGATCCCTTTGGTTAACATGTGGTAGAACCTCAGGATACTCCTTCTGACGGTAGCCGATCCTTCGGTTGATGGGTATAAACCCCCCATCAGGCTGGTAGTTGCAGTCCGTTGTGTGGGACTGGATGGGTATGAACCCCCCATCAGGGTGGTATAGTCCACTGCATAGGACTGGTGGTGGTGGCAGCTTACTGCTCAGGTGGCTCATGCACCGGTTGGGCACTCCTTGTGTGTTAGTTGATAGGTATGAACCCCCTATCAGGCTGGTACAGTCCACTGCGTAGGACTGGTGGTAGTGGCGGCTTACTGCTCAATCGCTCATGCGCCGATTCCCTGGGGAGTGATTTATGTGTTGGTAGATGTACTTGGACCTATTTGAATGGTCTTTCAGGTTGTGCCGGGGATTTTACGTTTCATCCAGCTTTGTTGGTTGCTGGGGACTCTTCTTTTTTTTTTTTATTTACTTTTGGTGGTGATCGTCCGACTCTTGCTTGTTGTTCGACTTTTACTTGGTAGTCGAAGTTTTGTTGATTAAGGTGAGTGGTTTGTCTTTAATCCGGCCTTTTTCTCGCGGTTCTATCTTTTTTCTCGTGA